AACCAACCAACCAACCAACCAACCAACCAACCAACCAACCAACCAACCAACCAACCAACCAACCAACCAACCAACCAACCAACCAACCATGCAGCGTTGTTATCTTTCAACCAAATAGCAAACCTAATCTTGTGGAGCCCAATATTTGTGATTTAGACTGCTTAAACTGCCGGGCTTCCCAGAGCGGAAACCAGATCCGCGTGGGGTATCTGCCTCGTGTGCTGTGCTGTTCATCAGACAAAAGTGATTGGTGGAAATCAAGTGGCTCAGGGGTAAAAGGTTCTGGCTTTGGTGGTAAGCAGCTCTGCCGTTGTCCGGTTCAATACCACGCCTAGCCTAGCGGGGTATTATGTGGTTTGCCACTCCAAGTCCCGCGAGGCTTAGGTTGCCGGTTACTATCACTGAACAGTAAGTATCCATGACTATGGGGCTCCATTCTGTCTGCTGTCTATCACACACCAATGGGTAATAAAAACAACAGTTTACCAGCTGTTATACAAAAAAACGTTATTGGTGAACTGCGTTCAGTTTGAATTGGCAATCAGAATGACAACGGAGAAACATGATGAAATGGTTACACCTGAGATATTTTATTCAAATTGCCCTCCTCAAATTAAACAGGGACAAGACCTCCAGTTTCCCAATACGGACAGAATTATATTCCAGCGCAAACGTTCGTGTGTACTCTCTGTGCGAGTTCGAGTGATGGTCACCCAAACAAATTTGAATTTGGTCTTCTAAGGACATAAAAGCTGCTATCAGCCTAATCCTATATGTGATTACCGGATCGGAAACGTGACTCCAGGGCTCATAGTTCTGCACTCACCTGACTGTTTCGCACCAAGAGAAGTTTTACATTTCATTCTGATTTGACTAGTTCAATTACGCACAGCGAATAAAATGTCAATAAATGTTAGATGCCTAAATTTGATTATCCGGATTGTCCAATTAGCTTAATTGTATTTCTTCGGTAACCGGGGCTATACGTTTCTCGAGTAGATGCTACAACAGTTTGACCATCACGAAAACAGAACGAAGATAAACTGTCCGTGTTCAAACATTATTGTCTACGTTGCATTGTTCGGGTCTGCTGGGGAACCCGGACAAGCAATGCTGAGGCTATGCACAGAGTTTTAGATATTTGCAGTCGCTGACTGGAGTAAGTGATCGATCACCATACACCGTGTTAGTTGGAACATGTGATACGCATGTAGCCAAATAGATTACTACGGCGCGTGCTATTCGGTAAGGTGTGTTGGGGGAAAAATATAGAGAGTGATCAAACGAAGACCTGGCACGAGGGTATGAAAACCCTTATCAGGAGACTAGGTCACACAGGCCCTATTAGGCTCCCTAGCCGAGTACCCCGAGATAATGGTCACCGATGATTAGAGACACTGAGTGATATGGCTGGGTGTCGTAAACAGTGGCTCTCGTGCATTCACTCATCGTTCTCCTAACACCACTCTATATGAATTCTCCATCTTTCGCTGGAATTTGTTTTCAACATTACAATCTTCATTCTACTCTTTTTTGTCCAAATGGAGCACCAAAAGGCAGCAACCAAAACCGGTGCACGAAAATACATTATTAATGGTTGTAAAAACTGAAACTGTTATCGGGATCAGAATAATCAATGGCTAGACGCACTGAGTCACATGACGGATTGACGTAAACAATGGCACACGTGCATCTTCTCAATTAATTTGCAAACTTAAATCCTCATTCATCCTTTTTGTTCACTCTGGCACTGATTCGCAAATTCCAATCTTTCCTTTAATCCTTTAGACCTAATAAGAAGCCAAGAGCCACCATTTGAAACTTTCTCACGAAAGTGCATGCATGTGTGTTGCATGGTTGTACAAACTGAAGGTGACTAACCAACAACCGTAACTCATCCCGCTCCAAGGAAATGTGTCCAATTGAAGTGGATTAATTGAGGTAGACATGAACCACCGTTATTAGAGAGCTAAATTTCCGCACGCCACTGCCAGGAACCAAACTGGTCACTACTGATCCTCTCTCTCTCTCCGTCTCTCTCAACATGGCCAGAGGGAGACGTGCATTAAAGTGAACCGTAAATCATAGAAGGATGCAGCGAACTACGCCAATGCACAATCGGGGTAACTGTGACAATTGTCAAAGATTAATCATGACATAGCGTGAACAGATATTACAAACTCAATAACAAATCTTTCATACTCGAAAAATGATGAATGTGTACACAATTTGGAAAATAAAACGAAGAATTAGTTGAAGAAAAGTTTGAAAACATTACACAAATGTGCCCAACTACGCGTACCTTGACCGCAGATGCGAAACGGGCTCCGAGTACTGCAAACCAAATTCAAACAGAGAATTTCAATAGGCCAGGATAAAGCTCGCACACGAGACCATTGCCATTCGTTTATAAATATTTTTTAGGAGCAATTATTTTCGTTTCTCTTACAGTAGTAGTACCCTGGAGTGCTGATCCAGTGAAGCACAATCTGATCCCGACTGCTAGGTGAAGCACGTACAACGTAGTGGAATTTGTATGGACAACTGTTTCATGTTTCATGCAGGACGAATCCACTAACAGCATATATATATATATATAGTGCTTGTGTTGATAACTTTGTCTATCCTTCGCCCCTGGCAAGCAGCTTCATTTTATATCACCACACCTGTATTCACGTTCGATTTGTGAGGATTGCTAGATTGGTAATGATCATCTGAGGTTTTTTTTCTCGCTTTATTTTATTTTACAATGACGATTATAATGATGATGATAATGACGGTGACGATGACTCAGATGATAATGAAGAAGACAATGATACTGATGACTCGGATTATGATGATGATGATGATAATGATGATTGTAATGATGGTCATGAATTAGAGGAGAATAATGTCGATGCTGCTGCTGCTGCTGCTGATATGGATGACATGGATGGTGGTGATAAATCGGATGATGATTTTGATAATGAGGATGAGGATGATAACTCGGTTTGTGATGCCACACGAAAACAGTCTTTCTCTCTCTCTATTTTCCGTTTCGAGGGTAACCTAATGCAGTCAACTTTTAATGCCACGCTCACATTTACAATATCTGTACAACTGTCACAGAGTGATAATTTGGATGTGTCAATTGTATCCAGCTCAGGATAGCCTATTCACTCTATTTGAATGGATTACATCATGCTTCAAATACAATGATACCGCTGCTTCCAGGTCGTTTGTCAGAGAAGTTGCACGATCATCCGAGAAACTCGTGTCCATCGTACTCGAGAAGGATAGAATCAATTAGCATCACGTGATATTACAGTTAGTTGAGTTGGTGTGTGTGTGTGCGCACATGCGTTTGTGTTTATTTGTGCAATGTTTGCACTACTCGATCGCAAAATGAACTGTTTTGTGTTTGGTGTCCAGGAAACAAGTGGGTTGTTCTGTGATCATCATCTCCGTCCAGTATTGCCTAACTGTGTAAAGTGAGCTCATCCCGGTGTTTTAGAAATCATACTGCTACGCGTGTTATAGTCAGCCCCTAGATGCACATACGTGTGCATGAAATGAAGAACGAGCTAGTTTTCATATAGGCTAATGCATCGGTGCTGGGTTCGAGCTACCGGGCAATGTATCTGTCATTCTTAACTAACAATTGTACCATGCAGTAGCGTAAGGCTCTGAGAATGAGTAGTTCGTTGTTCTGGAGATGTTGATGTGAACCGGCATATCTATTCATGGTTGCGATAGGAATCGCTTTGTCAGGGTCAGATTAGGTGGTTGCTTTGATGTTCTCGATTTCAAACTTAGAATACTAACTCAAGAAGCAGTGGAGTACTGCTTGGAGCCCGTAACCGTTTGGGCAATCGGTTTTTGGTTGGTCGAACCCTATTTCCCTTGAATGGGTTTCCAACACACGGAAGCCTTGGAGCCAGTTCCGCTTTATCATCACAGGTAGTTTGCAATCAGGGAGTTCCACTTTGATATGGAAAACCCGTCTGACTACGACTTGTCAAATTGCTTTTAAGCTCAAAAGTTGGCGTCCTGTCGTCAATAATATGAGGAAACACACTGACACAAGTCTCTGATCATAAAAAAATCCCATTCAAACCACTTACAGGAAGGAAAATTAGCATGCGAATGGACCGCAGTATTGGTGATATTACGGTCCGAAAGTAAAACAAATGATACGCAGAACGAAAGAATCAAACCATTTCAAAGAGCTTGCTTATTTTATTTGTGTATGACAGTTTGTTCAGGGGAAATGTTACGTCTCTTACTTAGAGGTGCGGCAAGCCAGGGAATTTCTGTTGAACGAACTGCCTTCGATTTGGGACTAGGCAAACACTCCGCTCGTGTCGCATTGGCACCCAATACGTTGCATCGGAATCCCGCATAAAAAGACAACAGTTCACGTACAATTGTTTGTGAGGCCTCGTCGAACACTTTCCGATCGATAGGTGCTTTCTGACTGAGTTGACGCTGTATCCTCTTCAAAAGACGGGAGCACACTTCCGGACTGATATCAATCTGATTCAGTGAAAGGGAGTTATTCAGTAGCCAGTTTAGAACATCCGCTGGATATTTAGTTATGTAAAATGTATTCTAATAGTTTGATCAGTTTACGAAATAAATTTTGCCTTTCATCTAGTCATTTAAAATGCATCAATTTCATTGTTGTTCGAATTATTCGAAGTTTTCGGAAGTGAACTGGTCAGAAACCTCGATCAAATTCAAACCCACGAGTAAACGTGTAAATTTAAATTCACACTAATTAATAATAATAGATGAACTCGTAAAGCAGACCAGAGAGGTTTCATGTATGAAGTGAATGAATTGCTCCGTAGCCTTGACTGGATTCGAGCCCACACATGCAGACCACCCACGTGAACAGGATACACCAGGTAGCATGAAAGCTGACTAGTTTGAAAGTTTTCCTTAAAACTCACCGAATGAACTTTTAAGGTGGGGGTATTTGTTCCAAATATGTTGTCCAATAGATTTTGTTTGAACCGGATAAGTAGTTTTTGTGGTTGTATACTTGGAGAAATACAAGTTGGTTTTCGGATTTATTGTCAGCGAATAAAACTAACGGAACGCCAAAAAATGTACAGACATGAAATGTCATTGAGGGAATTTGTCGTATGTACAGCATCATCACGCAATAATTATCCAGGTTGTGAAATTTTCTAACCAAGTCATAATACACGGAATGCTAGTGCTGAGATGAGCGGGGCGCGATGCCCGTAACAAGCTCACAAAGACGGGTTGTGGTATATTGTGTAAATGGAAAATGAGAAACGGTCTGACCAGCTACTCAGTAGCGGAGAGAGTAGTATGCTGGCGTTCTGCCTGTGCAAGTCTTGGGGTCGATAGATTCGCGCATAGTACGGATGAGACCCAATCAAGTCGAGACGGCTGTACAGTGTTTCAGAGGTTTTCAGTTCATGCTTCATTTGCTCCCTGTACGCGACGAATTCCCTTTATGAAATATAAATAGTTTGGGTTCTAGTTTGTAAAAGCTGTATAAGCTGCGACACTGGAAGTGCCCCACAGTTGCTTCATTGCCAACGGTTCGTATTCACCGCCACACAGCACGGTTCAAACCTATATGGGTGCATAAAATTGTTCATTCGATACTGATCCATGCCGTAGTATGCATTGATCATAAGCCGTTTGCCCCACTTAATCAGAGCACAACTGTGCTTGGGTTAAAAATAAAAACACGAGCGTACCTAAGGATCAGTGGACTAATTATGCAGGACCAAACTAAAGACCCAATATTCCTGAGTTCATGATTGGTTAATTTTGTCGGCATGTTCCATTGTGCGATTACGTGGCTCCGGAAACGATCTGGAATCACGTTAGCGATCGTGTGATACGCATACTCATTACCTTTCGTCCTCGGACAGTTTTGATTGGTGCACACGTTGAACTGTTGCTCCAACCAATAACCGTGTTTTCAGCTCAGACCATCACCACATTTTTATTCGATTGATGAATCACAAAAAATTAACTTTCGATTAATTCAATATTTTTAATGAGACTTCAACCTCGCCACATTCCTAAAATGGTGATAACTAGCTAACTAGCTAATGGATTGTTCAAATGAAATTGGGAGATTTGGCTCACTTGTATTTGTGGGGGAAAAACAGAGTCGAGAAATGTGCTCACAATGCAGGCCAACTTTCGCCTCACGAGCCATTTATTGCCAGTTCCTCGAGCAAGTTCCTAAGTTAAAACAAAAACCCAGAAAATTGAACAAATTCTAAGGATACTTGTTTTGTTCTTTTTGTGTAGCTGGAAAATGGAACGGAGAACATCACGAAGAGTAAATGCATGAATTCAATTTGAGAAAAGAAATCGCACACACGTGCGCGCACACTACAACGATCACAACACGTGGACAACAATGTCGGACTGCTTGATCGACTTACACGTGGGCGAAGCTGTGAGATTCTGACACGTGAGAAATCAAGTAAATTACATGGTGTTAATGCAATTCGGTGACTGTTTGGGGAAGAGGTTAAATGGGTGAACTTTGTGAAAATTCAAACTGGTCACAATACATTGATTTTCAAATTTTGAAGCTTATTTGTGTTTAACAGGAAAACCGGTGGTGGACAACTAGTTCAAACTTTATGACAGCTGGATACCAGTTCTCAATTTTTGTCTTAAAGTCTCCGTATGCTGAGGACCGCAATGGTCATTGTGTTTCACTATTCATGGGTAGAAAAATGTTCCGAATTCCGGACGAAGCAGATACAAAACATCAATTCCGATTGAGTAGATTCCACGTACAGATTAGTGTTGTTATTACTTGCTTGACCTCAGTGTCACTAAGCTCTCTGTCTATCCCTCTCTCCACACACACATACGCACACACACGCACACACAAACACGCAGCACCACACATCAGAAATGCATTCACTTATGCTGACCAAATGATCTTTCATTCCGCAGCCGTTCACGTGTAGTCATAGCGACGTATCACCATTTCGGTCTCAGAGCGAGCGATATTGAACCGGGATGTATCTGAATTACTGAAATACATTGTGCATATTTACCGCGAAGTTTCCGATAAAAGACACAATCGTGCATGGCCGGATAACGCTACTACTACTACTAATAATAATAATACAAATAATAATACTGATGAGTAAAATTGATGTGTTCAACATGAACATATGAATACTTCATGTCAGTTGAACAACAAGAGCCTTTCAGGTAACCACGGGTTTAATGGGAAATGTCTCTATGCAAAACGGTTGACTGAATTCTCGGAAGTCGTTCAGATAGAGGGAAAAAAAGTAGACAGTGAATTCAGATTGTTGATCCCGTGTTTACTATTGGAATTGGGCTGGTCGAACATATTCTCATTGGACCTGATCTCATCCTTCAACATCCTTTTTATCAAGCAGACAATTAGATATCTGTCTATTCGAGGAAGTGGGATACTTCTCGTGTAAGCTTCCACTCAGTTATCTCTCGTGATGAGGACTTCACACATTCCTGATGAAAAGCGCCCACTTTTTGCATAGACACCTTGTCAATCGCCTCCCGTCCAATCTCCACAGATAAACATTTCCAAAGATTGACGATCAGTCTCGAGAGACGCTACTTCAATGGAAAGCTTACAAATGAAAGTTAGGAGGGGGTTAACAGATGATCTCAGGGGCATGACAACATCCGAAGAAAAAAAGCGGATTGGAGCTCCGGTTCCACCGACCGCCGTACTCTGCGATACGCCAGTGGAAACCCCACATTGAGGCATATCGCAGCATGTCGGGTCCTCCCTATCTTGTTTCTTTGTCCTAACGCGCAGTAGCATGCGAAAGCGCCTCCCTATTCCAATCTAGCGCGAGCATGGGAGTTGCACAGGAATTTTGGGATAAGCTTCAAACTTTATTAGTGTAATTCTTTCCCCATGGCTGGAAAAGACACCATCCTGCCGATAGATTACATTCACATCGAGTCGTTCAAGAGACTGGTCTCATGAAGATGATATACCACAGTGAACTGTATGTATGCACACTTCACTATAGATTAATCGACAGTTTCCACCTGAGAGACCCGGACACTAGTTTCTCCAGATCAACATATAATCGTCCTCACGGAGGTTGGAAGTGTCTCGGATATGCTAACGGACACAGCCTGTTTTTTGTTCCTAAAGATACAGTGATACTGGCTCGTGAAGTTTTACATTCGGATGATCTCAGACAATTTCATGCATAGAGTGCGGTTCAATAGTAATTAGGGACTCAAATGATAAATCAACACGGATAATCCTTCAGTCAACTATGTACACGGGAAGCACTAAACTCAAACCTCACTCTTGCTATAGCTCATGTGAGAAGCATATTTATCAGTTCATCCAGGGTCCGAATTTCGGACGATTTACATGACAGGTACGCGTGGCCATCACACAAAACCATCTCTCACCAAAGCAGGTTGAATTTAACTACGTTATTCCGATGTCTCTTTCACTCAGTCCATCAGTTCATTTGGCTGGACAGAAACAAAGTGCAATGCAGTAAGTAGGCTCTATCTCTGTGGGCACTACAATCAAGACCTCTATGCAATTCAGGTTTGACGGGGCGAACTGAGGCGTCTACGGGAAGATGAAATTTCAAGTGTGATTTGTCAAAACCAATAACCAAGGCAAAGCGAATGTGACTAACCGTTCACGTTGTTTGCATAGATCAGGTTTGGTAGTACGAACGACTAGAGCCTCGGTAAATTTCAGTAACTTTGTGTCTGTTGTGTTGTAGATGATCTGGAATGCGTTGGTTGAAGTGGCACAATGACTTTGTTCGATTAAGTGTTGTGTTATCGAAGATCTAAGTCTTTGTTGATCATTCGACTACGTAACGGTTACAAACTTGTCGTCCATCGCTATCTCAAGCCACACCGGGGTGTGTTCAGCCATTCGGTGACGTAACTGCTTCCCTGTCCTGCGGAGCATCCACACTTATATGGGTAAACACAACTTGATTTGGCGGACGAGGGCAATGGTTCGTTCACCGATGTCGTCGGTATCCGGGTGATAGTGAAGACATTGACTGGGTCAACTGTGCAATAAAGCCGCTCGACAGCGGAGTTCAACCGCTTGCTGACTAGTTCACTTACGTCATCGCCTTTGTATACTAACTTCAAAAACGTTTTCATTTTTGGGGCAGTTATTAGGTTTTCTATTTTTTGGTGCTACTCAACTAAGCGACTTAGCGATGAATACACCTGGATATACATTTGCTTGTAGTAATTCGCTTTCATCATTTAAAGAGTCCTCTGTGCATAATTCACGAGCTCGTGCAAATATTGTGAGAACAAAAACAATGTGTCACTCCAATCCACGCATTCCAGAGCATCTACAACACACATAAAAACAACAACAATCATCTTCCATCTCGCGCGCTATCCACAAGACCATTAGATGGGCGTCAAATATTTATTTTAGCGGTTACAAATTTTGAACCTCACTATAAAGGTCGTTTTTTTCGAAATGCTGCTGACTAAATAAGAAAGAAAGAGAGAGAACGAGATGGATCAGCTGAAATGAAAAGGGACTCATCTCGGTTTCACTGTTCCCCAGTGATTTTTCCCGGCATGTTGAAGAGCGACTTTTATTTACTGGCGAGATCTCTGAAACACATCTCTAAATGTAGTGGTATATCGTCAGGGATTGTTAGGGACTCGTGGATTCTATCATAGACAGACACTTACACGCATGCAAAAGTCTCACTGCCANCACTGCCAAGATACACACAGACACTCACCACCCATTATACAATGAATTTTCAAAAGCTGTATCTACATTGTCCACACGCTCAAAATTTAAAGTTTTATTTACACGTACCCCTGCTTATCGTAATTCTGTTCTCCCATATCTAGTACGTCTAGTTATTGACAAGGATTAAATTTTCACAGAATTGCTCAATTGGGCTTGCTTCATTGACA